CCTAGAATATTCACACGTTTACCCACCTAAGTGTACGAATGGAATGTCGCTCACCTGCAGGTGAGCGACATTCACACACTTGCATTTCCAGTGTATATGGAATGAGCTGTAAAATGATTGCTTTAAAGCGGTATGCAATTACCTTTGTTTAATGTTTTCCTATTAATAATAGGCCTATGCATGACCATCAGTAATTTTACAGCCGGAGCTTTAAATTGACGGCTGCGTTGTAAGCAATAATTACAGGCACTGTCAGCTCAAATTTGCCACGAAAAGTTGAAAAACCTTAAGCTATATTCAACTAAGCCACACGGAACAAAACCGAAAAAAAAGAAAATTTTACCTCCGTAAAACAAATTTCGATCGCCCTGATTACATGATTTAGTCCTGTTGATAGGGGTGTGATCGGCTTGATAATATTTCTGTCCACCTGATCATATTTTGACTACACTGGTAAAACAAGTGTGCATAATTTAAACATTCCCCGCAGCGCCGCATTGCCAATGCGCATTAAAACGCGCAACAAAGGTCACACACTTCACTGTAAAAAATTTCGTCGTAATAAATTTTGTAAACTTGAATTATAATTTAAATTGTAAATTTACGAGAGCACAGTTTTTTACTCGCCAATCGATTTGAAGTCGATACGTACTGCATGTATTGTTACGATTACAAATTGTAATTTTACAACTTGCGTCAAGGAAAATTTTCCTGTAAACCCACCTACTACTTTTCACAGTATCCATGGCGTCCACCTTTTGCCCTTCCAAAGCTGCCAAGTTTAGCCTATGCAAGCTCTCATGGCGCCTGGTAGGTATGCAATATCATGCCTGCAGTGCATGCGTGTGCGGCGGGGTGGCCTACCCTGAGTCTCGCAGGCGCCGAGCACTCGTTATTTGCCAATGAGTTTGTTCTGAAAAAAAACGGGCGTAATTTCTGGGCGGTCCACTCTCAGACCTGTCAAACAACGCACGTTATGTTATTTTTGGGGGTTATCATGCCCTTTAGCGTGGGAATCGCAAAACACCAGTTATCGCATGGTTTTGTGTTAAAAGTATCTCAAAACCAGACTCAGTGCGTAGAATTCTCTACAGCATTAATTACTGATAAATTTGTCAATTATCGTCACGTATAGTTTCGTTCAATATACAGGGTGGTCCACAGACCCCTTCCTTAATTTTGCTTATACTGTACCGCATGCAGGCGTGCGGGTGGGTTGCATACTCACACGGGGCCATAAGGCGCCTTGCGGAGCGATGGTATAGGCAAGCCCACCCGCACGCCTGCATGCGGTACAGTATAAGCAAAATAAAGGAAGTGGTCTATGTACCACCCTATTGTACACCAATAAAAAATCAAATTGTCAGTAATGTATAAAAGGGAATTAATCCGTATTGCTGATAGAAAACTATCGTGCTGCATAAAAAACCAACATGAGTTGACAAAGGGCGGCAAAAAATCAGTAACGGGATGAGAGTGTCTCTTACGCCATGCGCATCCATTTGGACTGGAAATTTGAATACTGAGAAGTGCTGAACAGCAAATTTCAACACTCTAAAGTGTACAATCGACGCGGCCGCAGGCAGCTTCATCCGAACCGACTACAGACAAAACACGTAAATTCACACGCCTCTCTCCACTCTCCATCTCCCTAGCACCCCCCCCCCTGCCCCTCCCTCACCCGAACAAAAAAAAATACAAATGGGGGAGTACGCCCCTCCTCTTGTATTTCTTGACTTTTCCAAAATTAGCCAATGTATTCGCTCAGGCAACTAATCTTTTCTTTTCCGTGTAAAAATCAGGGAGTACGCCCCTCAACCCGCAGTCGGCAGCGACTTCTGAGTTAGGAACGGGATCAGACGCCTCCAACCACATGTGCTTATCAGAACACGGTTGTTGTGCTTACGGGTGTCGCAAGGTGGTCAAGACTGAAACCCAGATTCAGAGGCAGGGGTACGTGGGAATTGAAC